AGACAAAGATATCTTAAATCATGTCTTCAAAGAACAAGGTGCAGTACTTGATCAGAATCTTGAAGGGATTTCACTTGGATATTTGAAAACTCTGCCGTCAACATCCAAGTTTGGGGGACTTGATCAGCCCCTACAGCAATGACCGGGACATCTTCACCTCGAGGAAACCACCAGCACATCTTAGCCAAGAGACCATAACTGGTTGGTGGTTGACCTACCCCGACTGAATGGAAAGTCATAAAGTTCCATGGTTCCAAAGCACCAAACAGATAAGGGTCGGAAAGTAGACCTCTGTTGCTTCAATCCACTGATCTTCTCATTTACCCTCTGATTATTTAACATAGCCATGGAAAATCACAGTTTTTAATAGGTAAACCAACTATAAATGGACCATTTTCCATGGTTATGTTAAATAACCAGAGGGTACTATATTTACTTAACTTTGCAACCCCCAAACAGATGGTATGAAATCTATGCCACCAGCATGGTGATTTGTTGTCTTCCCATATGTTCCACGGTTGAATCCCAGTTCTAGCTGGGTATCCCACTTAATGCTTGCTTAAGAATCCCCCGACCATCTTAAAGCCCATTGTTGGTTTACACCATGGGAATGGTCATGTTTCAAATACATGTGTTTTACGCTTAAATCAGGTTAAATCGTATCATACCTGCATGTTTGCGGTTTAAGAAACCACCGTTTTCAACCGTGAAATTCACATGACCACGAGGAATTTACAGGCACACTGCTCGTAGTGCAGGTCAGTGGCTGAGTGCAAGCAGCTTTGCCTCAAATGGTAAACGTTGGGTGGGGCTCAGCCAAAATGTTGTCGTTTTGCAGCCAACATGATCATTTCACAACAACCCCCAAAACAATCCAAAAACGATAAGAATCATGAGATTTCACAAAGAAACTGCACGGACTGATCGATTGGCATAGCCTGCGAAAGATGTAAAACCCGTGGAATTCCCATCATCCCTTGTATGGAGTGGTGAGGGATTGGGTGTTGATACTGTTGATACCCTCTTGGCTGTCGGGCTTGCCGCTGGGGTGAGCAAACCAACAAGTGGGATAGAAGGAGTGAGCCCTGAAGTCGCATGTTTCTGCCTGGACCCTTAAAGGTTCAATGACCTCACATGATTGACGTTTGGATTGTTGTACCATAGCTCAAAATAACGACCGAGGAAGCCCAATGACACATCTAGGAGGCACGTATTCTAAATCAATTGGCCAAGCTATAGCAGCTATAGGGCCCGGAATGAGGGTTCTAACATCAAAACGCGGCCCTGGAAATGCATTTGAAAGTATCCTGCAGTGGCCACAAACATGGCTGGCCCGAAAATGGACATGTTTGATACGCATCTGCAAAAGATCTGCGGTATTTTTGCCAACATTCACCCTGTGGTTAGATACCATGGCAATTGGGGAACATTCCCATTGTGTGGATCATGTTCCTTTCGGAGGTGGGGGCTTTCCAGCCGTATACTTAATATTTCTACCGGCGGTAAAAATATTGTGTAAAATGACATAATAATCCCATCGCGGTGACCTTGATCACGTGAAATCAGAACATGCAACAAATCCATAATGAGTCATAATACGTTTGTCTGACAATGACATATGACATATATCATATATCCCCAAATGGTTATTTTCATGGGGACATTTTATCGCAAACCATCAGATTGGAGGGGGTACCCCCATTTTCAGACAATCCACATTTCGTATCCCTGCAGTTTCTTGGCCCTTTACCAGCTATAAGTCAGTAAGTCACCCCATGTATGGAATGATAACCCCGTGTGTGATTTATAACCGCAAAAAAGAAACGGATAAACGGCTTTGACTGTACAAGGTAGTGCCCCCCAGTTATAAGTTGGTTTATACACCATAGGAATAGTATGTCAATATATCTACCTAATCAACCATAGTGAAATTGGGAAATTGGAGTTATAAACGCACCGACTTAGCGATTTAGCTCACTGGGGCACCACCTTGTACCTTTCTTAGAAACCACACATCGTTGGTGGCTCAAAACCCACTCTCCGAGTCGAAAATCGGCCGAGCTTCTGATCACAAATTTCATCCCTCAGCATTTTCAGACAACAATTTTGCTACCCCAAGAAGGTGGGTATTTATCCAAGAAAGGGGATTTGAAACAAACATATTGGATGTAAGCATGACTCTAATAGGATCTTGGATTCAATGACTAAAGCATGTTAACAGTTTAAACATCTTTAAAGTGCCTAAGATCTGACATATAGGGGATGTAAACCACCAAAGAGGATATTGGATTGAGAATAAGTTTCTGTTCGTTTAAACCATGACAATGGGTCAGTATATCTACCGTTGGTTTTTCAGTGGTCTCTTAACCAACCTTAACTTGGGCCTCCGCGGTGACTGGAACAATGAGGAGTTTAACCAGCTCCATTTTTAATGGTTTCTGTTTGTATTCTTTGATGCTTGACTGAAAAACATGGAGAATGTACAAGGTATAGGGCTGCTAATTTGTTGCAATTAGCTTGGTTATGTAAGCAAGTAGGGTTTAACAAAAGTTCATGCTGGATAATTAGAACTACAACAGTTCATGGGGTAAACCAATAACCATTTCACAGGGGAGGCCACAAATTGTAGGTGGCTCCACCCATTTCCGTTGTGGCTTTCCGTTGTGGCAACTGGGCCCTCTGGGCCCTCTGGGCCCTCTGGGCCCTCTGGGCCCTCGGACGGGTAGAAGAAGGACAAACCCTCAGAGGAACCGACATCCTCCAAAAAGCACGCGTCCTGCCACATCTCAGCACTATGAGAGCATCATCTGAAGTTGGTTTCTAATTCATGGTGGTTCATGGTGATTAATAGTGATTATAGATAATGATGGTTAATGATGGTTAATGATTATATAATGATGGTTAATGATGGTTAGAGATGGTTAATGATGGTTAATTATCTGGTTGCTGGTTGACCTACCCCTCTGAAAAATGATGGAGTTCGTCAGTAATTATTAAATTTATTATTCCCAATATGTGGAAATTCCAAACCAGCAACCAGGAAGTCATGTTCAATGGAACTCCCAAGTTTGGATCTTCCCTTTCTGGGATGGCTCCTTAGGCAACTGCAACTCCATCTTTCAACTTTGCATTGCCATGAAACACTGTGGCCCCCCCAAAAAAACGACCAAAAACTCAGTCCTTCCGATCACAGCAATACCCTTGACCCATGGCGGTGCAAGAGTCCGGTGGTTTGTTTAAGGATCGTAAACAGGGTTTGACAATGTTGATTTGGTTAAGCATCGGGGGAATGGACTACGCCAGTGATTCTCTTCCAGTCTACATTGGCCATGCACTGAAGGCAGCCAAATGATCCGTAGCAGCTGCAAAGCATCCCATAGTATCATAGTGCAGACTTGGGAATACAATATATATATATATAATATATATATATATAATATATATATATATATCATATATATATATATTTAATATTATTTAATGGTGTTTTGTGTGTGTGTGTGGGTGCTTTGTTGCGGCAAACCCGTCACATGAAGCCACCAGGATCTGACCTGTGACACCTGTGTGGATGCAATATACCAGCCTAATCTGTATCATTTGTTGGGCCATGTATATCCTCATGATCTGATCTCTGATTCCACGGGCTGTCCCAAAATGGCGAGGCCGGCCGCGGTGAGGTTCAAGCGATCCAATAGGTGTCGTGGTTTCTGACTACTTCCATGATGGCTAAGATTCACCGCATTTTCCAAGGAAAAAAACATGGAATGTATGGAATGTCTTAAGATTCAGCACTACTTTCCTATGGAAAAGCAGGTGGCTGGTGGCTTTGGGATGTCACCGGATCCTGTTGGTTGGTCCTCTGCAGCTATAGTCAGTATGGGAAGATGAAAAATCACCAGCCAATGGTGTGGGATTAGCCAAGCCTAATCACAAATTAGATCATAAAATGGGTTTGTCTGAAAATAGGGTATATTCCCAATTATAGCCATTTAATAGGGATAATGATCATTAACCATTGGGTTTAGGGGTACACAACATTTTCAGACAAACCCATATGATAAATCCCTGATTCCTGGCCAAGTCGAGGTTGGTTTAAATTGGATTCGTTGGCGAAAAACCGCAGTACTTCGACGTCGGCACCTGGGTCTTGACCTGCTGGTCGATTTGCATAAAAAGTCGCTTCTTCTGTTGTTCCGCCTAGCGAACAACGCGGGGGTCCGAATGGATGGTGGATGGGCCGTTGCGAAATCCTATAAATCACCAAACAGATGGTTGAAATCCCAACAAAATAATGGGATAAACATGGATGTTTACCACCGTTTTCAACTGGTGCAGGATTTCGCTGGCCCATCCACCGTATGGTTTTTTAGAGGTTTTGACCTATCCCCAAATTTGGGTTGAGAAAGCAGCCCCGATCCCAAGTGCAAAGCCTGAAAATAAACCTGGATACAGCGCAATAATGGGATTCTGGGTAAAGTAGAACAACTTCCTTAAACATACAGAATTAGTTGATCATTCTTAATTAAGTAATTAATCATCACCGCCCTGCCCTTATTCTATGATGTTTGGGCCTGGGACCTGCATCCAGAACGATCCCATGAAAGCTGCAGCTGAAAAACCTCATGGTGAACAACATATGGAGGTTTCCCAAAATGGGGTATACCTCTAAATCATCATCCATTTTGGTAGGATTTATCATGCAAAACTATCATAAACGATCATAAACTATCCAACTATTGGAATACCTCCATCTATGGAAACCCCGTATGAATTTTAATCAGATTTAATCCATTGTTGTGTTGCTAAAATCCACCCTCAGAGATAAATATGGTTAATCATACCACTACTGGTTGGTGGTTTGAACCTAGCTGTGGCTCAAAACCCTACCAGCGGGCAGTCGTTCTTACCGATATTTGAGCGTTTTGACCCCACTGATGGCTACTACTGGTTGGGATCAACCCAGAGGGTATGACATCCTCTTCAACCCTAAGTGGGATGCAATGGGAAAGGGCTCCCGTCTTTCACTGGTGATGGATTGTGTTACCCATACTGGGGAATCAATGATTGGAGTTACGGTCCCTGACAGTAAGCAGATTAGGGTGCTGGGAGCCATCAACCCCCAAATCAAGGGTTGTCGACGAGTCACCTTGTTTGATGTGGTTTTAGAAAACCCTGGCAAGATCCTGGATGTCCACCTTGATGAGCAGTCTGCTGTCATTGCACATGGACTTCGCCCTGCTGAGGATGTCTTCAGGTGTGTTGAACTGTGTTCGGGGATTGCCTGTTCTAGCTCGGGTCTTCAACATGCTGGTTTCCGTCATGTGTGCAGTGTTGAGTGGCGTGCCCCTTTTGTGGACTTGCACCGAACCTCCAAACCTGGAATTCCCGTCATCCATGGGGACATTTGCAATCCTTCATGTCTCAAAGAAGTGGCCTGCAAAGTTGACCCACCTTTCACGTTGATGACTGGTTTCTCATGTCAGCCATACTCCACAGGTGGTTCACAAGGTGGTTCAAATGATGAGAGGTCAGACACCGTTCCTGCCACTGTTCGAGCTGTGCACTTGTTCCAGTGTCCTATACTCATCATTGAAAATGTGACCCAAGCACGTTCCAACCAGTTTGTCCGGGCCTGTTTGCAGCAACTTGAGACGGTTCTTGGGTACCATGTTTCTGAGCTGACGTTGAAGTTGGAGGACAACTGGTGTGCTAGGCGTCACAGGTGGTGGTTTGTGGCTGTTCACCCTGCCTTTGGGCCTGTCACTCTCACTGATTGGCCGAAAAGTCCAAGTCTGACGATCCGTGATGTCATGCCCTTTATCAAGTCGTGGCCCATTGAGGACTTGGAACAACTCAGGTTGTCACCCCGTGAGGCTGATCGTTTCATGATGGATGGCTCGTCACTGAGGAAATACATGATTCAGACCGAAGGCAAGTTGCCGACCAGCCTTCACTCGTGTGGCAGTCAGGCAGGTGAGTGTCCTTGTGGTTGCCGCAGAGCCTTTAGTGATCAGTTGCTACGTCAGAGAGGAGTGTATGCCCAGTTGATTCAACTTCACTCTGCCGATGGTGGAATTGGATACAGGCACTTGCACCCGATCGAGCTGTCCTTGCTCAACGCCATGATACCACCTGAGTCTTGGATGTCTCGTGACAAACCATGCCTTCGACTTTGTTTGAGTGCCATAGGCCAACTTGCCTCGCCTTTGCAGTCGGTTTGGGTTGGGTCATGCCTCATGCAGCACTTGTGTCAAGTTTTGGAATTGCCAGCGGTTGCACCGATTGAAAGCCTTTATACTTTCAAATCCCAGTTGCGTGCTTTTGCCAAAGACCTTTTTCCAGATGTTGCATCAGGACCTAGCCCAGCGGTGTGGACGACCTTGGTGTATCCTGACAACACTAAGGTTCATGTTCAGGTGCAGCCGGAAACGACCGTCATTGAGCTTTTTCAGGCAGAAATGGCATTGTCACGTGAGGTCACTTCCGATCAGTGGATTGATGCCTCGACTGGACAGCAGCTGGACTATTTCACATGTGTTGCAGGTCTTGAGATTCGTGTGAAAGGTCCTGGATCCGACTTGTCGAATCCTTCTGGACTTCCCTCTTGGACTTCCTCTGTTCAGCCCATCCCTGTGGTTTTTGATGACCCTGAGCAAGAAGATGCTCTCATGTCGACTTCCGGTCCTTCCAGTGTCCCACATGTTGTGGTGCCTTCCGGCGTGCCCCTTGGTGTCCCAGATGTGTCGGTCAGTGGCAGTGCTGTTGATTCTGTGCACGGGCATCGTGTTGATCCAGGCCATGTCATGGACACACTGCATGGATTGCGCAGTTTGACTGGACACCAACTTGCTGACTTGGTCCCCCCATTGGTTCCGGATGTGTCTTCTTGCCTGATGTTTCGCCGTGAAATGGTCAACTTGGAATCTTGGCTTGAGGTGTTATCTCATGAGGGACTTGCCATGGGTGATGATGAGCTCAATATCCACCTCAAAGCATGTGTCAAATTATGCGGCAGACCCGAAGTCCAATACCTCGACCCGTTGTTGGCTAGCAGTTGGCTTCAAGGTGGCTCCACTGATGCTGTTCGTGAATGGTTGGCCCAATTCCCCGACCTGACTACCATTGTCACGGTAGTGTCTGCCAAGGGTCATTGGCTTCCAATTGTTTGGACTGCTGGAATTTCTGATGTCCAGGTTGCGCTGTGGGAACATGTTGAAGTCGATGTTGATTTCTTGAACCCCCTCCATGGACTTGTCAGCTCTTCGTGGGGTCGTCCCATGTTTGGTCTTGCCTGCACTAGGCGTTCCTTTGCCCGTGGGCTTTGTGGTGCTGCTGCAGTGGCGTTTGTGTCACATCGTCTTCTTGGCCATGACCTGCCCAGTTCATATGATGCCTTGTTGCTCCTGCACCAGGACCTGAAAGCCAGTTTTGCTGCCACATGTAACACTGCCGCTGTGTTGCCAAAGCCCTGGTGTTGGGGTTTGGGGACAGTCGATGTCTTTGGCCTAGCCAGTGAACTTCTGCAAGCTCATGGGGTGCCGGCCTCCCAAGCTACTCTGCGTGCCAAATTGGTTGTCCAGTCCCTTGGAAAAGCTGAGGTTCAGAAAGCATTGCATGGTGTTTCCCCTTGGAAATCCCTTAAAGCCCTTGCCAATTTGCAGTCGCCGCCTTTGCAGATGGTTCTGCCTGATGAACAGGCTCAACATAGCCAGGTGAAACAACCGCAGAAGCAGCCAGGTAAGCCCAAGAAAGCCGCCGCGGCTAACAAGTTTGCACCTACTCGGCCTGCTGAACTAGACCCGTCAAAGCTTCTTCTTGAAACTGGGGCCTTCTGTGTCGGACACGATGAGCCAGTTAGCCAGGTGTCGTTTGCCACTTTAGGTCCTCTTGCATCCGGCATCGCCTTGGCCACTTATCCAGATGCACTTCCCTTTTTGCAGGCAGGCAAGTTGCTCACCAACCATGGCTTGGCTTTGATGGTTTTGAATCCACCGAGTGAGGTCCAGACCACTTTGATCACTGCCACTGTCCGTTTTGCCGCTCGATGTAGCATGAATCAGGAGCCAATGATCGTCACTGGATTGCTGGTTCAGCTTGGCAAGACTTGTGTGTACCAATATACAGCCAAAGACACACCAGCTGTCATTGCCACTGATGTTGCCTGTGCCCGTGTCACCGTCTTTAAAGATCAGTGGGAGCATGATTGGGAAGAGTTTGCCAGCCGCCCTGTCAAGCATGTCCTGTCAGTCCTGCAGTGTCTCCAAACGTGCCGCAATGGCATTGATTGCAGTTGCCCTGGTTGGCACCCGGGACAGGACCAATCGCCAGATGCTGTCTTGGATGTGTTCCGAAGACAATACTACAATGACTCAGGCAGGCCTGTCAAGTGGGACAAAGCCACCCATTTTGCAGTCTTCATCAGGTATGTCAAGTGTCTGGAGTCCCATGTTCTTGCCGCAAGTGGCCAGCACGGTGTTTACATCGAACCCAAGACCGAGGATGCACTTAAGCCGCATGGTGAGTATCAGGTGGTGTGGTTGCCTCAGATGGACTTTCAGGCGGTGTCCCATAAGGCCAAGTGTGAAGTGGATTGCCTTGGACTTGCTCGCACAGGTCAACGTTATGGGCTCCGGGTTCATGTCAAGGACTTCCAACGGCTGTTCACTCAGGTCAAACCAGATGCTGTCTACTTAGCTCCGGGACACAGAACCATGTACCACTGCGGCCCTTGGCCTTTTGGTAGTGACCGCAAAAGCATTGCACGAATCCTGCGAGCCAGCCATTGGGAATGCCGACCACTGCAGCCAGTCCAACACGTGCCAGGTGGTTTGATGTGGTCTGTCCAAGCTGTGACTGAGCCTCCCGTCAGGGTTTTGTCTTTGCAGCATGGTCAGGTCGTCATCACGTGCCCTGACTTGAAATCCCCAGTGCCTGATGTTGAAGCCCAAGTTGTCGGTCATGCTGCCACTGTGAACCTGTGCCGTCCGTCCGAGGCTGCTTGCTCAGACCCGTGGTTGACCAGTGACCCATGGTCGAAAGCGGTTAGTGCTGCGCCAACACTGCCTGCAGGGCCCCCTGCCCAACCGGTCTTGCAAGAACTGGAGCAGCGCATTGAACAAAGTATTCTTGCAAAGCTGCCCCCATCAGACAAGATGGACATCGATGACCAGGATCATCGGTTGCAACTGCTTGAAGCCCAGGTGCAGCAGTTGAGCCATAGACAGGCCAGCTTGGAGACCACTGTCCAAGACAATCACCAACAGAACACGGCCCAGGTTCAGACCTTGCAGCAGCAGATGAAGGTTCAGATGGACTTGCAGACGCATCAGATGCAGTCGATGCTTACCGACCAGATGGCAAGGATTGAAACCATCCTTGCGAAGAAGCCACGCACTGAGTGACATCGTGGGGGCCCTGTGCCTTTGCCCTCTGCCAGGGTGACCCCGGGGCGACCTCGCTCCATTTGGGCCTTTTTGCGATTTGTTTTAGTTTTGATGATGTGCCGCATTGGTGAAGCTCGAGTTCCCGGCCCTGACTCCGACACATGGACACTTGGGATTGTCAATCCCTCGGGATTGCAGGGGAAATACCATGTGCTGGATAGCGTCAATGCTGAAGTGCTAGCCATTAGCGAGACACACTTGTCTGCCCAGGCCAAACGTGGGTTGGCTTACTCTTTTCGGTCTCACAAGTCACGGTTCAAACATGTTCTGACAGGAGCACCCATGGCTCCTAGATCGCTCTCCAGTGATGCCGGACAATGGGCTGGGGCGGCCTTTGCCTCAGCCTATCCTTGTCGCACAATTGCAGCTCCTTGGCCTAGTGACCTGTATGAAACTGGGCGCATTCAGTTTGCAGCTTTTCACACCCCATCGGATTGGATTTCTGGGGCTGTGATTTATGGCTACCCCGAAGGTAAGACTCACACCAATGCTCATGCCAAAACTGAAGCCATTTTGGACTTTGCATGGACTCGCCTCCAGGCACAGACTGGCCCTCGATTTATGGCCGGGGATTGGAATTTCACCCCTGATCGGCTTCAGTTGGTCTCGCACATGCAAGCAGCTGGGTGGGTTGAAGTGCAAGATCATGCCAGGTCTCTCACTGGCCAAGCCGTTGTGCCCACCTGCAAACAGACGACTAGGAAAGATTTCCTTTGGATGTCGCCTGAGTTGGCCCTTGGATTTACTGCCCTTCGGATTGACCCGCAGGTTTTTGCTGACCACTCGGTTCTCCTTGCGACCTTTGTTGGGGGGAAAGCACATCTTGAAAGATTTGTTTGGCCGTGTCCTCAACCCATTGCTTGGACTTCCGTGCCTGACCTCCCGACACCTGTTTGTTTTGCATGCCCATTAGATCCCACTGCCCAGTATGCAGATCTCTGGCGTCAGAAAGAAGCTCTTGCCGAGGCTGCCCTTGCCCATGAATGGAGCCCTGCCATGGCTGGACGAGGCCAACAGACCAAACCGCGCAGGGTTGTTGGGCGTCTTGCACCTCTCAGACAAGGCAGGATGGATGATGTTCAGCCTGGGTTCTTTGGATTTTCTGCTCTCCATGTTAAACGGTTTAAACAACTGCGTAGATTGCAGAATTATTGCAGGTGGGCTGACAACCATGCCGCCAATCACACCAGTGATAGTCTTCATGGAATTGGACTTTGGAATTCCATCCTCCATGCCTCTGGATTTGGCGTCTCCTTTTCCAGTTGGTGGCCTTCCCGGTGTTACGTCAGTCCCCTTGACCCTCCGGCCATTCCCCCGTTTTGTCCCAGTCCCTTGGTTGCCCGGCAAGTTTATGATGCTTTGCTCGCTGATGTCAGGTTGTTGGAGCAAAGACTGACGATGGCCAAGAAAGCTCACAGGGTCGCTCACCATGACCGTGATCATCAGTTGGTCTTCCGTGATGTTGCACGCCCTGTGGCTGCCCCAGTTGAGACCCTTGTTCATCGCGTTGAGGCCAAAGTTGCGTTTGTGGACCAGTCCGAGTGTGCCATTGAATTGGATCGCTCTGTCCATGTCCTGCCTGATGAGCCTGTCTGGGTTTCAGGGCAAGTGCATGAAGTTATACATGCTGAAGGAGACAAAGTTTGGGTCCATGATGTGACCACTGTCCAAGTCAATGATGTCTGTGTTCAGACCAAGCCTGTTGGTGACCTGCAAGCACTTTTTGATGCTTTCCATGAACAATGGAGATTGCGGTGGTGTCGACATGATGGAGTCCCCTTCAGTCGTTGGCAAGAACTTCTGGATTTTGCCCGCCAGATCATTCGTCCCACTGCTGTGCCTCACCTTGCGGTTGACAGTGCTTTGCTCCAGGCAGAAGTTCATCGGAAAAAGAAAAGAGCCGCAACTGGCCTTGATGGTGTCAGCAGGAGCGACCTTGTCATGGCGGATCCTGCCACCCTGGCCAGTCTTACCAAGGTGTACCAGCGGGCTGAAACTGATGGGGCTTGGCCAGCTCAACTTGTTGCTGGAAAGGTACACTCTTTGGCCAAGACGGAATCTGCTTCCACTGTTGGGGATTACAGACCCATAACAATCTTTGGCTTGCCTTATCGAGCTTGGAGCAGCATTCAATCCCGACACCTGTTAGCGTTTGCTGATCAGTGGGTTGATGATAGTGTTTTTGGAAACCGAAGGGGAAGACAGGCCTCCGACCTGTGGCTCCAGTTGCTCACTCAGATCGAGCAGGCCTATACCTCCTCGACCGGTTTGGCTGGGATTTCAGCTGACATTGAGAAATGTTTCAACTGCATCCCTCGGTTTCCTGCACTGTGTCTTGCTGTGTTGGTTGGCACCCCGCATGAGGTCACCACTGCATGGAGCGGTGCCCTGGCCAGCATGTGTCGTCACTTCAAAGTTCGGGAGTCTTTCTCTTCAGGGTTCCTGACTTCTACTGGTCTTGCTGAGGGTTGTGGTTTGTCAGTTTTTGGCATGCTGCTGGTTGACCACCTTTTCGCTTGCTGGTTGAGGTTCCAAGCCCCTCCTGTGCACTGCCTTACTTATGTTGACGATTGGCAGACCATCACCCGGGATGTGGATTACACCGTTCGCCAGCTTGAGTTGGTTGAGCAGTTTGCTGCCTTGATCGACCTGACCGTCGATCGCAAGAAAACCTTCGGTTGGGCTACCTGCCCTGACATGCGGCGCCTCATGAGGGACAAAGGCATTCGGGTTTTACACCATGCCCGTGAACTTGGGGGTCACATGGGTATCTCCAAGCAGTACACCAATTGTACTGTTGCTCAGCGTATTGCCGCCCTAGGTGACCCAACTTCGCTCCAGTAATGCCAGATACAAAGCAAAGGTGTACATGCTCCGTGCTGTTGCTTGGCCGAGAGGCCTTCATGCCATCTCCAGTGCTCCCATCGGAGATCAAACTTGGCTGGCGTTACGACGTAGTGCGGTCAAGGCGTTGGGCTGGCAACGGCCTGGAGTTAATCCTGCTGTCCTCCTTAGCCTGGTGGAACCCATGGTTGACCCTCAATTTGTTGCCATTTCATGGACTTTTCGGTCGCTGCGTGCTCAGTGCCCTTTGGACTTTTGGGCGGTCAATGTTTCCCCCCTTGCACATGGGGACTTGGACTTACCCCCCAATGCTCCAGCTTCCATTGCTCTTCAACGTGTCCAGGCGTTGGGTTTCCAAGTGGACCGAGCTGGGTGTGTCATTGACCAGTTTGGTTCCTTTTGTCTGCATACGTGCAATATCACTGAGGTGGACTTGCGTTTGCAGTGGGCCTGGAAACTCGTGGTAGCTCAGAAAGTTTCCCACCGTTTGGATTTCAATGGACTTTGGCAAGTTGACCTGGCTGCTACCAGAAAGGCGCTTGCTGCGCTTGGGCCTGATGACCAAGCTTTGTACCGCCTGGGGCTGGCTGGAGGTTTGTACACCGAAAGCTACAAGGCCAAATGGACTGATCAGGCCGACTGTTGTCATTGGTGTGGCCAACCTGATACCCTCAAGCATCGTTTTTGGGAATGCCCTCAACATGGTGACCTGCGTGCCTCGCTTGCTCCAGATGTCCTCCTTGTCCTTGACCAATTGCCACCGGTTATGTCCTTGAGGGGTTGGGCGTTGTTGCCTCCGACTTGGCACTCCTGGATTCAACTCCTGGTGAATCTGCCGCCGTGTTCTTTGGGGACGTCTGTTGGATTTGCCAAGGGGGTCTGGAATCATGTGTTCACTGATGGGTCTTGTCTGTTTCAGTCATGTCCCCTTTATCGGTGTGCTGCCTGGTCTGCCACTCTTGTCCCAGCTTTCTGCTCATCATGGACTCCAGGAGGGACACGATTGGTGGGTGCCTCCTACCTGCCAGGTATTTGCCAGACTGCCTTCAGGGCTGAGTTGTTCGCCGTTGCGTTTACGTTGCACCAAGCAGCTGAACAAGGAGCTCCGGTGAAGATTTGGACGGATTGCCTGGGAGTCATAGCGAAGTACAATCTGCTGGTCAGAGGCCATAAGAAACTGAACCCCAACAGAAGTAATGCTGATTTGTGGGCGTGGGTACTTCAGTCAGCAGACAGGCTTGGGCGACAGTACATTGAATTGTGCAAGGTGCCAGCACACCGGCCACTTTCTAGTGCTACGACAAGGTTTGAGGCTTGGATGTTTTTCAACAATGACATTGCAGACAGAGCGGCTCGGATGGCCAATCAGGCCAGGCCCCCTTGTTTCTGGGACATTTGGGAAGCGCATGCCCAGGCTACAGGTGTTGCCGCTACGTTGTTTCAGCAGGTACAAGCATTGCATTTGGCTGTGGGGAGGCGACAGGTCCAGAGTCAGGTCAGTGATGAACCCGGCGATCCTGACTCTGGACCTGTCCGCCACACCAGAGAGTTTGTGACAGTGTTTGAGCGTGGTAGCTGGAATGGATCGTTGTTACCAAAAGTGACCAGATTGTATGGTACATCAGTCATGCAGAAGATCAACAAGTGGTTCATGGCGCGGTTGGCGCCTTCAGCTGACGTGGTTTGGGTATCGTTTGCACAGTTGTACCTGGACTTTCAGATGTCAGTTGGACACCCTGGTCCTCTTCGTGTTCAAAACCACTGGATTGACGCTGACCAGAGGCCATATTTGGCGGTGGAAACCTTTTCGTTCAAGCAGCGGACCAAATGGTTCAGACAATGCCTCAAACATCTCTGGAAGGAAGCAGCCTTGACAGTTGGGCTGGAGCAGTGTCGACCACGATCTGTGGCGATTCATGCCTTTCTCCCATCAGCTTCGCTCCCATGGGACACCCATGCTCTGGCTGTCGTGGATGAGTGGCTTGGAGCCCATCTTCGTGACCCTTGCGCTCGCGAAGCTAGCGCTTTGAACAGTTTGCCTCCACCGACGAAGTGTGGCAGACTGCAAGTCTGATCGCACCAAAGGTGCTTTTGGATTTACCGTGACCGAGTTGCCTCGCTCCAACCACCGAGCAGGCATCAGCGACAGAAAAACTGGCAGAAAAACTGGTGGTTTGAACCCCTCTGAAAAATATGAGTTCGTCAGTTGGGGTTATTTTTCCCAATATATGGAAACATAAAAACATGTTCCAAACCACCAACCAGTTATGGTATTTGTTGGCATGAAACCATTCTATTTTGGATTGCTGTACCCCCATCAAGAAATATCAAGAACCACAACATCCATAAGTCACAACATTTTGCCAGTTGGGGTTATTATTCCCAATAATATGGAAAAATAACAAATCTTCCAACCAGATTATATGTGCATTACCCTCTGGTCATTTAACCCAGCGCCTGGGAGTGGATCAGCTCCAGCTGTTGCTTCCGCTGCAGCTCCAGCGAAGCGTTGCTGCGCTGCTCCTGCCGAGCCAAGCGGATCAGGGACAAAACCGATGGAAATCCCCCCTTGTAAGTAAGGGGAATCCATATGATGTATCCACATATGTGCAAAATCATGGGTAGTTGGCTTACATCTACAATAAACCATATCATTTTTTTGGTTTATGGTATAGATAGATATATCAAACTATAGTTGCATTCTATGAGATTTGACGGTGGTTTCATCCAGTTTAAAAGGCTGGTTTCATCCAATTGGAGCAAGAATTATGATTGTTTTACCAGGGTCTGTGCCCATTTTACCCAATCCAAAACGGATTTTACCCAATCCAAAAACGGCTTGGAACTACCTAGAAACAAATACGATTTGACCATCAGAGACGGAGTTGAAGCCGCTGATTTTAATCCACTTGGAGGTCTTTGACCAGTAGGAAATCAAAGGAAATCACCATGAAATGAGCATTTCACCACCACCACCACCACCAGCAACAACAACAACAACAACAAAGTGGCATGTTACAATGTACCACTACTGCTTTGCCCGAGAGGGTTCACCATGAACATACCAACTTCAACAGCATTTTGTGTGCGAAAACAACAACATTCATCTAATCATTATGTTCACATGAGGATTCATAAGATTTCACCAGCATTTTTTGCATAGCTTTACCCAGATAAATTTAGACAGCAACACAAATGCGAATTCAACCAGCAAAAGATGGATTGAACAACAAGCACATTGTGATTTTACCAACAGAAAGGTAACTCACTAGTTGCAAAATGTTGCAAACATCATGATTTATACTGTATCCTGCGGCAAAGAGAACAATGTGTCAACCTTTTTAGGCGCAAGCTGCAGCGAATCTTCATCCATCTAATGCGAAGAGCTTAGCGGGAATAGACCATGGTTTCACCTCCGAACATCTCTAAAACTGGCCGGTTCAACATGTTTCAACACATATGGTTGATGATATGGTTGATGATAGTTATACCAACTTATGGATAATATAACACATTGGGTTACAACAACATATCGCCAAATTTGTTTCATTGTTTTCTTTGAGATAGCTTAAGAAACGCTTAGCCCACCCTGACTTTGGAGCAGGACGCTGAACCTGCTCCTCTAAGGAGGTCAAATAATTCCTGGCGACCAACGACCCAGAAAAAAACCTAGGAGGATTTTGACAACATATCCACTTGTTAACTAACATAGCTATTGAAAATAACCATTTATAGTTGATTTGCCTTAAACAAATGGTGATTTTCCATAGCTATGTTAGTTTACCAGAGTGTATTTGTTCAAGCAACAGATTCTACCTTTTGGTAATCAAACATAGCAATTGGATGCAGTTGGCAATCCCGAAATGCCCTATAAATGGAGGTTTATAGCTGGGAAAATTATCTATACATGGGGGATTTGACATTGCCATAGATTACCAAAGGGCAATCGTCAAAACTGTGGATGTTCCGCTACAAATATTCAACGCATTGGTTTTGTCGGGACAAAACCAACAGGAATGTCCCTGGTATTTCAGGGTTGCTCCCAACACCCCAAGTACACTGGGGGGTTAAATTGACCACAAAAAATGGTCTTAAATGGCTTATTTCCATCATTGAGGCTATCATTTACCATCAGTTACCTATAGTGGGCCGGAGCAACCCTGGAATTTACCTCCCCAAATTGGGGATTGCTACAGGGAGTTACCTTCCACGATCAGTACAGGGACGAACTCGGACCCCGAACCGAACAATTGATTGGAATCCACAGTATATCGATCAATCAACGTGTTCCCAATCAGCGTGTTCCCTATGAACATTGCTATTTTGTGGGGATACCAAATTCTTAAGACATAATTAAACACACAATTACACAGTTAGCTAGAGATGGACAAAGTATAGTGCTCGTCAAGTACCATCTACCATGAAGATACCATGAAGTACTACATTTGCCTTCTTGTTTGGGAAGAAAACGAAGATGTAGTAATTACCAATCGAAAGTAAATCAAAAATAATGAACAATTCGAGGTGATCACATGCCACCTACCTCAAAGTACGTCACTTTACGTCAGGCCACCAATATAACCAATTTGGCAGAATCCCAAATCATTCTGGACCGCATCACAGTGGGGAGACTGAAGATGAGGGGCGGAAAATCACCACGTTTGTTGATCCTCACCATTTCTCTATTGCGTTTTTTGGTTACATCTCCTGCCTTCTTCAATCCCAGTGAAGTTAAATTCTAAATTTTGTTGTCACCAGTGATTAGCCCTGGCCCCCATTTCTTGTCATTGCATATGCAATTCAACGAGCTCCTAGAAACTCTGCGGTCCGAGGATCTCTTTTTGTCGTTCCACTGACGTTGGGTCCGGCCTGAAGACCAACAGGTTCAACCATCAAAGACCAGGAGAAAAAAAGGGACGACGCAGCAAAGATAGGGCTTGGACCAATGCAAAAATCATCAAATACCCTCTGGTAAACTAACGTAGCTATGGAAAATCACCATTTTTAATAGTTAAATCAACAATTTCTATGGGTCATGTTCAACAGTTGTGTTAAATTACCAAAGGGTATCCGCACAGTGTCCTTTCGAAACAACCAATTTCCTCCCCTGATGATTATTGTGTTCCCTTCTAAACAATTACAATCCTCATATGAATGGTTTGAACATCCTATTTCTTGGTTTGACGTATTCATCATATCTAATCATATAATCATCATCCCTCTGAAAGGTCTAGAAATATCGTCCCCTCCATGGTCATTTGAGCCATGAAAGATACACATATCCCATGCCATTCTACTAGTTGGTTACTAAATATTCCGATGAAATGGCAAAAATCAATCTCTGTCCATCCACTTTGTTTTGGTGTCGGAGCGCTAGTGTACTCGAAAAGAAAAGAACCAGAGCCACTGTACCAGGTGGAGTATCCTTTGGATTAATCCATCAACTATGATCATGTACTTCTTGGCTGTATTTAGAAATATGGTATTATTATGGCTGTAACTATGGGATTAGTATGGCTATAATAACTACAGGATTTTGAACATAACTATCAATAACTAGATATAGCTAATTATGGGATGATTATCATCTGGTTATTTACCATAGCCATGGAAAATCACCATTTTTTAATAGGTAAACCGGTAAACCTCTATACATGGGCCATGTCCCATGGCTATGTTGAATAACCAGAGGGTAATTATAGTTGTCCTATCATACATTTTTCTATTAAGATCTCCCATGAATCCACCATTCTTCATCAATAATACTCATATGTCAATAATCCCATTTATATCAGCCATTGTCCTTCATGATCTTCATGGCGAGCCGGATCGAAGTCTTGGGCTTCGACAAGCCCGAGGTCAGGGCAGGTGGAGGTCCATAAAGGACCTCCCGGTTGGGCACCTGGCCGGTGAAAATGCTGTGACGTAGCGGCTGGTGTAAGGTGTATATCTTACTAATATCTCTATATACATAAATGCAGAAGTATATATATATATTATATATATATATATATTATGTTGTTATATTAAATATGTATGCATCTATCTATCTATCTATCTATTTATCTATCTATATATCTATCTATCTATTTATCTATCTATCTATCTATCTATCTATCTATCGTATATTATCTTATATTATCTTATATTATCTTATCTTATCTTATCTATCTATAAAGGTTTAATACATTATCATCGTTGGCTTACAACCCTCAAACTTTAGCCACAATTATAGCAACCCCAAAATAAATAAAAACATTGGACACCTGTAAATAAGGACATGTAATCTATATCATCCTGGAAACACTGTTCTATCTTTTGAAGGGTTGCCGTACAGCTTTTAAACATTTGTTGTAGATGTTTGACCTTATGATTCAATATATGATCTATTCTTAGAAGGTGACATAAACCAAATTTCAACTTGGGGCACGGGGGGGGACCCACATTGTATTATGATGCTATGGTAGTTTTCACGCTAAAGGACTTTCCAATATAATACGGATGCTGCCTGAAACAATGGAGCTGGTTCATTCACAGGGTTTCAGAGAAATATACCAGAAAACATGGAGTTGGCAGTCATTTGACACCTGAAATTCATCGTAAAGAGTAGGCAGGAGATTACCTTCCAAATACCCAGGAAAATAAAGACACGCACATGACTTTGGGTAATTACTTAGCCCTGCTTCTTTCAGAAAGAACAAAAACTTGGACGACCTCCATATCTTTCTTGGTGAAAGCCCTAGCCAGTCTCATTCAAGCAGAACAGTGGGAAACCCCTTCCACATGAATCCGATTTGTTGTTTTGTTTTTTTTTCTACGGTTTGATCAATATATATATATATTTATATCAATAGATTGAAAGGTACATTATATCCAAATACATGAACAAAAACGATCAAACGTCTTCGTTCCAAAAATCAGGCGAGAAAACATCAAACTTAGAAATATATATATAGAAGTATAATGAAATATCACATATCCATACATGGAGGTTTCCTAAAATGGGGGTACCCCTAAATCATCCATTTTTTAATAGGATTTTCCAGTAAAAAAACACACATCCAGCTATTGCGG